TTTTTTTTTTTTAAGTTCTTGCCTTTTTCATCTCTCTTCTCTTCCATGGCTTTCTCCAGAGCTTGTGCCTGGTGACATCTTATTGAAGACATCAGTTATATAAATTTACTTCTGGATTCTGTAGTATATTATTCTCAGAGGAATGTTCCTCTGAATTTCATGATGAGCTCCCTTTTCTTCTACTACTATTTTCCCATAAGTACCATGTTAGTTTCTTTTTTTCTTTCAATAAGGACAGATTTTCCCTCTTATTCAGTATTTGCCACATAGACAGGTCATGTGGCTTTTTCTTGTTTCTGCTGTTACTTGGCTAATGGTTATAGAACAGTGTGTAAGTCTCCTGGCCCAGTTTCCAACCTGGAGATTTTCCTGATATGTATGTCTAATTCTCTCTCCTAGTCTGAGTCGGTGGAGTACGTAAAAACCCTCCATTCCCAGCATGCACCTCCACCACCTCCACCGATACCATTTATTATGGAGGGCCTATGCTATCCACTAGACACTGTCTCACCACCAATTTCCACCTTCTTTTGCCTTTTCCACCTTCTCTCTGTCCCGTATTTCATAATTGATGTCCTGATTGATTTGGGGCATTATAGTCACCCATTAGATCTAGAAACAATGTAAATATTTTTTCAGTGCCAGATTGTGCATCTTAATATTTTTTGCTATTAGGGTTTATCTTGTAATTGATGTGTCCTCCCAAATTTTAACAAAAGTTGTTAATAAATCATTAACATATCTTACAATAGAGGAAATCCTTTAATGATAGCTACAATTTTTTTTCCTTTGCCGGTATGTAGGCTTTGCATGTCTATATGAACATCACAATCCTTGTGCAGTGAGTATTCTTATTCCTTGTGAAATGAGGAAACGGGGGCACCGAGAGGTACAAGTTACCCATGGCCACAGTGGTGGAACTAATTCTAGATCTGTGCAATTCCAAGCCTCAGCTTTTACCAGTCTGCTCAAAGAGTAGATGGTTGGCCCAGGAAATCTGTGCTCTGGTCATGTGGAAGGCAACCAAAGGACTCTCTCTGCACGGTTCTTCTGTGGGGGCAGGGTTTTGAGCAGTCAGTGAGTGAGGAGGGGCAGAACTGTAGGCGGACCCATCTTACCAGCGGAAGTCTTGAGTAGTGTTTCTTATAGTGACCTCAGGGCCCTATAGGCAGTGAGACCTTGTTCAGAATCTGGCAACAGAACGTGTGTCAGTCTCAGAGGTCAGCTTTTCATTGTTGCTTTTTTGTCATTTTCTGTGCCTTTTGGTGCTAACTTCAGTCAGAGATTTTTGTCTGTTTTACTTGCCTCCAGCATCTGGCTCTGTGCCTGGCATATTATAAGTCTTCCCTAAATGTTTGTTGGAAGATCAAGTCCGCATTTGGGCTGTTACCTAGAAGCCATTAAAATTTTTAGAAATTTATTATTTATCATTTCTCAAAATAAAAATAAGACATATGTGTTTTAAAATGAAAATCAAAAAATAAACATCTTGCTCTTATCAGCAGCCTCCTGAGGGTCACCACTGTTAATATGTCTTGTAAATCAGAGAAAAATGTGTAAATATTGAGAATAAGAAAAATATCTTAAAACACACATGAAATCCCAACATGCACACTGACCTGCACCTAACTTTTTTTTCACTTATTAAAGAGCTTGCAAATCTTGGCATAGTGCTACCTAGAATATCTGCCCTCTGGATGCTGCAGGTAATTATCTGCCAGTCCCTTACTGATGAACAGGTAGATTGTTTCCATTTGCTAGGACCACTAGGTGCATTTAAATGTTGGTAGAGAGGGGAGCCTGGGTGGCTCAGTCAGTTAAGCATCTGACTTTTCATTTTGTCTCAGAGGGTCATGATCTTGTGGTTCATGAGTTTGAGTCCCACATTGGGCTCTGTGCTGACAGTGCATGGAGCCTGCGTGGGATTCTCTCCCTCTCCCTCTCTCTTTGCCCCTTCAGCTCTCTCTCTCTCTGTCTTTCTCTCTCTCTCTCAAAATAAATAAATAAACTTCAAAAGAAATAAACGTTGGTAGAGAGATTGCTAAATTGGCATTCAGAGAGGGAGCACCCCCAGATACACTGCGTGAGAAGGCCTGTTCCCTCAGTTCATTGACCTAGAGCAATAAAATTTGTGTAGTTTTTGGAAATTGACACTTATAAAATGATGCCATTCTATTTTGCCTGGCATTTTTAAACAAAGAAGCTGAGTATCTTTTCGTGTATTTGTTGGCCATTTTTCTCTGAACTGGTTACTCATATTCTTAGCCTGTTCTTTCTTTTGAGATGATAATGTTTTCTTTCGTTTTTATTGATTTTATATGTCTCTTTTATAAATTAGGGTTATTAGAACTTCGTTCATGATATCTATGTGAACTATTTGTTTCAGGTTTGCGATTTGTATTTTGACTTCATTTATGGTGTATTCATCATATAGGAGTTTTACATTTTCACAGAACCAAATCCCTCAATATTTTGTTTTGTGGCTCCTGAATTTATACAAAACTGTACTCCAGGTTTGTAAAGAAATCAAGCCATGTTTTCTTCTATATTAGAACAGTGCTGGGCGCCTGGGTGGCTCAGTCAGTTAAGCGTCTGACTTCAGCTCAGGTCATGATCTCATGGTTCGTTGATTTGAGCCCCTCATTGGGCTCTCTGTTTTCAACACAGAGCCTGGAGCCTGCTTCATATCTCTGTCCCTGACTCTCTCTGCCTCTCCCCCGCTTTCTCTCTCTCTCAAAAATAAATAATTTTAAAAAAATGTTAAAAATAAAATGATATATAGAACAGTGCCTGGTACAAAATAAGCCCTATATTAAGTTTTTATTAATATTAGAAAATAAAATTTTCATGGTTTTATGTTTTTATACTTAATTTTTGGTCTTCTTGGAATTTATTTTAGTGAGGTAGGGATCCAGCTTTATATTCTTCAAATGGTTAGTCAGTGTTCTCAATACTACTTATTCATTAATCCCTTTTCCTCACTAATTTAATAGACTGTATTTTAAATTTTTTTTTCAACATTTTTTATTTATTTTTGGGACAGAGAGAGACAGAGCATGAACGGGGGAGGGGCAGAGAGAGAGGGAGACACAGAATCGGAAACAGGCTCCAGGCTCTGAGCAGTCAGCCCAGAGCCCGACGCGGGGCTCGAACTCCCGGACCGCGAGATCATGACCTGGCTGACGTCGGACGCTTAACCGACTGTGCCACCCAGGCGCCCCATAGACTGTATTTTAAAGTGGGAGTCCCCTTAATGTGTCTTCCAAGTGTTTAAAGCATCTTTCATACTGTCTTTATTCTCCCAGTTAATTAGAAGCATGGCTGGCCCTCTAGGGCAAGCACTAATGAGCTAAAGTCATCATTATTGTATAGCACTTAGTAGAGATATGCTGGGCCAGGCTGAGTAAGGCCTTCCCACTTGCTCAGGACTCCAGCAAAGTGAGCTCTTATTAAAGTAATAAGCAGCCATGTCTTTTCAAAGCTCAGATCAAGCAGCTTTGCAGGGTTGAGGCAGACAGGAAGGGAGAAGACCGAGGGCCTGCATGCCCATGGGATTCCCTTCTGCAGTGCCTGCCCTGGGCTATGTAGAGCCTTGCAATTTCTGAAAATACGTATGTGTGTGTTCCCCCCGACGCTTTATAGTTGTGGGGGGCAGGGGCTCACAGCCCTTTCTTTAACTGTGGAACCCCTACCCTGGAAAATTCATGGAGGCCTGCCTGGCTGAGGGATGGCCTAACAAAACAGGGTTTCTAATGGTCTGCATCTGGTCTGGTGATCCCCACAACTTCCAGGTTGGGAGCAGAGGACCTGGGGGCTGGGTACTGGCATGGGGGCTGGGAATAGAGGGATCACCTTTCAGGAGAAAAGTTTTGAAAAACTCAGTCTAGCTGGCCTAGGACCAGCTAGAAGGGAGTTTGAGGAGCTGGGTTGAGGGTTGAGGAGCTGAAAGGGAGTTTGAAAGGTGAGGGGGGAAACACGTGCATGGAAAGGTGAAAGAGGCCCTGGCTCAAGGTCAAGGGTTCCCATTTCAGATCAAGGACTCGCCCTCTGACCCTGGGCAAGTCACAGAACTCCTCTGATGCTCACTTCAGAGAAGTCAAGGATACTTCTCTTGTAGGCTGGGGGAGGGGCTTCCCGCTCAGGGTGTGGGACTTACGGAAAGAAGTGGAGGGCAGCGTGAGTACGCTGCGGGCGCAGGCGGCACGAGCATTTGTGCCAGGATGCACTGGAGTTAGCAAGAGGGTCATACTCGAGAGGCACAACGGCCGTAGGAAATGTGCCTGCAGAGGCCAGGCTGGGCTGTAAGTGGGCCAGCAGGGGGTTGTTGGACCTGCAGATCCTGAGCTCGGACACTGGGGAGTCCCTGCCTGTACACTCCACGCTTTCCTTTCTGCAGGCCCTCCTGGTCCCTGAACTGCCAGTACTCAGACACTCTGGAACGGTGGTTGGACGGATGCAGGCTGTAGCCGCAGGGGCGGCCCTGACGCCATTCTCTGGTGGTACCTTCCAAATGAAGATGCTCTGCTGTTTGCTGCCTTCACGCAATCCTGTTGATTATCTCTCAGCTTGACAGCTCCATCAGATGGAAAAGGACGAAAGTTTGCTTCCTCCAGGGATGCGGGATGTAGAATAAACCAGCTGCTTACTCAACCTGGACCAAAGGTCTGCGCTTGTATTATTATCCTGTGATTGCTACTCGGATAACCATTATTTACCGTCATCATGATTTATTATTATTTAATCTTAGATGGAGGACTTAGAGGAAGGAAACTATCTGGAAAACAAGGTGTGTCCATGAATGTCAATATTAAATAGGGAAGGGAAGAAAAGATACAGGAGAAGAAAAGAGGGGTCAAGGGCAAGCAGGGCCACCAATCCCAACCCGTGTCCACATTGGGACCCCAGGTGGAAGTGACACTACAAAATCCTCCTTGTACTTCTGTGGAGAGAATCAAGTGACAGTTGCCCTTTCTTATAAAAAGTTCAAGTGTTTTTTTAAATTTTAATTTTTTTAATGCTTATTTATTTTTGAGACAGAGACAGAGGGTGAGTGGGGGAGGGGCAGAGAGAGGGAGACACAGAATCAGAAGCAGGCTCCAGGCTGTCACCACAGAGCCTAATGCAGGGCTGGAACCCACAAACTCTGAGATCATGACCTGAGCTGAAGTCGGACGCTTAACCAACTGGGCCACCCAGGCGCCCCTAAAAAGTTAAGTTTTAGAAAAAATTATCAGAAACACATACTCTCATTAGAGAAACTGGAAAAAAATACAGAAATATATATATTCTCCTGTGATCTTAGCTCCCAAAGGCAATTGCTGTCATGCTTTGGTTGCAACTTTTTTTTTTTTTTTCGTTTAGGGATTTTTCTTCTTTATCAACAATGCTGTGGGGCACCTGGACGGTTCAGTCACTTAATTGTCCAACTCTAGATTTCGGCTCAGGTCATGAATTCACGGTTTGTGGGATTTAGCCCCATGTCCCTAGAGAATCTGGGATTTTCTCTCTCTCTCTCTCTCTCTCTCTCTCTCTCTCTCTCTGCCTTGTTTTCTCTCTCTCCCAAAATAAATCAATAAAAACTTTTTTAAAAAACCCAGTGCTTTGATAATGTTATAGAGTTTTGTACCTCATGTACCAAAGAAAGAACATGGCAGTAAATCTTTGTCCCTATATGCATTGCAATTTTAAACAGAAAGGGATTTATTTCTGAAACTTCAAGCTTTACAGAATTCTTGCCCAGGATGGATCAGCAGGTGACTGCTAGGGCTTCCCGGGTGCCTCTGCCCCAGCCATGCGAGCAGAACTATGTGTTCATCAGAAGCCAGGGCACTTCCTGGAGCCCGGACTTGGAGAGCATGGTCCCTAAACTTGCAGCCCTCACATAGGAGGGAAAAGACCGGAGTGACATCGGGGGAGGCCACTGGCATCACCAGCTTCCCCACGCGTGTCAGAGATTTTCCAAAATGAAATCTTAGTGCTGGTTGATATTCCACTGTATGAATGTACCGTATTTGATTTAACGTTCCCCCAGCTGTTAGATTTTTAGAACTTGTCATTTTTTTAACCATTACAAAGAATCCTGTAGTGCCTGTTTGTGGTTGCCCCTCTCTTCATTACTTACCCTTTTTAAAAATTACACAAGCCACATGTACTCAATGAAGACCGTGTGGAGAGGACAGATAGTCATAATGAAGGACATTAAAAATACCCACCATTCCCCACTGGAAACAGAAATTTGCCTCATTTATACGCAGTCACAATTGAGAGTCCTGACATAGGGATGGAATCAGTCTTTTTGTGTGTGTGTGCCCTTCACTATTTCAGTGTGAGCACGTGCACAAATTTTTTTCCTTACAAACATGGGCTACCACTGTCTATACAGTTTGTAATATTTTGTGGCCTGATATTTCCAGGTTTATGATAGGAAGCCTAGCACTGTTTTTAACAATCTCACAGCATTCCTGTATGTGGACAGACTGTAACATATATAACCTTCTATTGTTACTCTGTTCCATCCAGACACAAAGTAAATGACCTAAGGGAATCAAGGTCACCACGAGGCAGGCAGGACTGAAAGCAAATCAACCCTTCTTTTTTGTTTGCATCTTGTTTGCTTTCCGAGGGGAAGGAGAAATACCTATAAGTTTGAATTTCAGGGGCAGAACTTTGACTCAAGTTCAGTAATGATTGAACAGCTTAATCAGTTGGCTTTGCGTGGTTTATCCCGGTCTAGAGAGAAGGTTATTCCATAGTTCCCAACCACAGAGTAAAATTCCTGCTGGTGGCCACACTTGGGGTTGAGGCACTGAGAAGCTAATGAGACCCTGAGAGCCGCTTCCTTATTGAGCTGGGAGGCCCATGCTGTTTGTGAGGGTGGGCGCAAGCATGATAATGCATCTGACCTCAACCCAGCCTTCACCCAGACATTCACGACAACCTGCAATTGATTAAAACACTATCTCCTCAAGTGCCAAATCCAGCGTGCTGCCGCCTCCTTCCAGCCCATTACCCTGCCACGGCTCATCATCGGCCTCTAATGGACACTGTGTCAACATGGGCGTGAGACTTGAGGACAAAGCAAATGTTAGTGTATCGATTGGAACAGTCTCTCTGGGGTTTCCCAAAGTCAGCTCCTGGCTTGGTGCTCTCAAACCCACTGAGAGTGGGCATTACAAAGAGCACTTGTTCTGGGGCCAGATCTCCCTTGTCTGGTTTAGGGAATGATGAAAGCTTCATTTAAAAATCTCAATGACATGGGTATTGAAGAGGGCATCTTGTGGGATGAGCACTGGGTGTTGTATGGAAAACAATTTGACAATAAATTTCATATATTAAAAATAAATAAATAAAACAAACGTTAAAAAATTAAAAAATAAATAAAATAAAAATCTCAAGGACAACCCCCATTACTATCACTTCTAGCACCAGCAGCTACCATATGGACCCAACTTTACAAATATTATACGTAGGCATTAAACACACGACTTTCCAAAACTTGCAAAACCTTACAAGGTAGGTATGAATTATAATCTTGTCCCAGGGGGAAAAACTGAGGCTTGGAGGGGCTAAACGACTTTACTCCAGTCTTGTAAGTGATGGAGATGGAATGACTATCTCCCCAAAAGCCATAGCTCCCCCACACAGCCCACTCCACACTCTAGTTCTGTATTGGTGTTAGTTTTTCTCTCCATCCATTAGCTAGAAAATTGGTCTCCAGATTTTTTTTTTTACGATAATAGTGGCTTTTAAAAAATTTATTTTTATTTTTTTATAATTTACATCCAAGTTAGTTAGCACATGGTGCAACAATGATTTCAGGAGTAGATTCCTTAAGTTCCTTACCCATTTAGCCCATCCCCCCACAACCCCTCCAGCAACACTCTGTCTGTTCTTTATATTTAACAGTCTCTTCTGTTTTGTCCCCCTCCCTGTTCTTATATTATTTTTGCTTCCCTTCCCTTGTGTTCATCTGTTCTGTGTCTTAAAGTCCTTATATGAATGAATTCATATGATATTTGTCTTTCTATGATTGACAAATTTTGCTTAGCATAATCCCATCTAGTTCCATCCATGTAGTTGCAAATGGCAAGATTTCATTCTTTTTGATTGCCGAGTAATACTCCATTGTGTGTGTGTGTGTGTGTGTGTGTGTGTGTGTGTACCACATCTTCTTTACCCATTCATCCATCGATGGACATTTGGGCTCTTTCCATACCTTGGCTACTGTTGATAGTGCTGCTATAAACATTGGGCCGCATGTGCCATTTCAAAACAACATACCTGTATTCCTTGAATACATACCTAGTAGTGCAATTGCTCGTTCATAGGGTAGTTATATTTTTAATTTTTTGAGGAACTTCCATACGTTTTCCAGAGTGGCTGCACCAGTTTGCATTCCCACCAGCAGTGCAAAAGAGATCCTCTTTCTCCGCATCCTCGCCAATACCTGTTGTTGCCTGAGTTGTTAATGTTAGCCATTCTGACAGGTGTGAGGTGGTATCTCATTGTGGTTTTGATTTGTAGTTTCCTGAGAATGAGCAATGTTGAGCATTTTTTCATGTGTCTTTTCATGTATGGCCATCTGGATGTCTTCTTTGAAGAAGTGTCTATTCATGTCTTTTGACCATTTCTTCACTGGATTATTTGTTTTTTTGGGTGTTGAGTCTGATAAGTTCTTTATAGATTTTGGATACTAACCCTTTATCCGATATTTTGCAAATATCTTCTCCCATTTTGTCGGTTGCTGTTTAGTTTTGCTGATTGTTTCCTTCACTTTGCAGAAGCTTTTTATTTTGATGAGGTTCCAGTAGTTCATTTTTGCTTTTGTTTCCCTTGCCTCCGGAGACGTGTTTGAGTAGGAACTTGCTGCAGCCAAGATCAAAGAGGTTTTTGCCGGCTTTCTCCTCGACGATTTTGTTGGCTTCCTGTCTTACATTGAGGTCTTTCATCCATTCTGAGTTTATTTTTGTGTATGGTGTAAGAAAGTGGTCCAGGTTCATTCTTCTGCATGTCGCTGTCCAGTTTTTCCAGCACCACTTGCTGAAGAGACTGTCTTTATTCCACTGGGTATTCTTTCCTGCTTTGTCAAAGATTAGTTGGCCATACGTTTGTGGGTCCATTTCTGGGTTCTCTATTCTGTTCCATTGATCTGAGTGTCTGTTTTTGTGCCAGTACCATACTGCCTTGATGATTGCAGCTTTGTAATACAGCTTGTATTACACTATACAGCTTGTAATACACAATACAGTTCGAGATTGTGATGCCTCCAACTTTGGTTTTCATTTCCAAGATTGCTTTGGCTATTCGGGGTCGTTTCTGGTTCTATACAAATTTTAGGATTGTTTGTTCTAGCTCTGTAAACAATGCTGGTGTTATTTTGATAGGGATTGCATTGAATATGTAGGTTGTTTTGGGTAGTATTGACATTTTAACAATATTTGTTCTTCCTATCCAGGAGCATGGAATC